AAATACTATTTTTTTTGAATTTAGGAAATTTAGGTTGATTTAAAATTGCAGCAGAACTCGGTGAATTTAGTCGAGTTGCCTACATACCCCATTGAGGGATCAAGCCACTTGTAGTTCAAATTTTAGGTTTGAAAATTTTGGATAATTCCTCGGTGTATGACCTTATGAGGAATTGACGCACTTTGTAATTTGATTTTGTTTTGTATTGATTTTGTCCTTTACGAGGATTTTTAGGATTGAATTTGATCTTGAAACTGTATCTAAATTTTAGGATGCCTACGTATTTGATAGGGAATCAAGTCAATCGTAGTTTTTGAATTTGAATTTTGATTTTGGAGAATTCCCCGATATATGACCATATGAGGAATTCAAAGATGTTTTAAAATTTGATTTGAAATTTTACTTTAGAATTTAGATTTGAAAGTTGTATTTGGATAATTGTCCGGTATATGACCTTATGGAGAATTAAAATGATCCTTTTTGAATTTGGTATTGAGATTTTTTTATTTGAATTTGGGATTTAAAAATTCTATTTAATCACTATATGGTTTTATGAGACAATGGGTTCATCTTTTTGAATTAAGGGACCATAAAGGGGCCCAATTTGTGCACTTTAAATTTTTTGATATTTAATATTTTAAATTTCTTTTAAATTTATCTTTTATCCCTTATCTTTTTTTTTTTTAATTTTAAATTTCATCATTTCCAAACTGATTGATTCGATTGTATGATGTATATCCCTTCTTTTTTGCTAACAATTTAACTTGGATTTCCATTGGGTCCTTTGTGAAGATATTGAGAAAGACCTGAAGGTGACGGCTTACTTGCTTTTTTTTTTTAATATCTTCATTGTTTGATTACTTCTCGGTGGGTATAGTGCGATTTATATGAATATTTTCATATAGATCATATGCACATAATTTCCCGTATGCTGATTCTTAAAGTGTAATTCGTATGAATTTTTCATTCGAATTGCTCTCAAAAAATATATCTTAACAATCTCTAACCCCTCCCCCCCTGTTGTTTTTTTTTTTTTTGCAGATTGCTCCTTTTTTTCCCTCAGCAACAATTAATTTTTCTTTATTTACAAATAATTAGGGTGCAGTTCCTCTCTCATTTTTTAACCTCATTTGTACATGTGCAACCGTCTTCTTTCTTTTCCATTGTTGTTATATATATATATATATATATATATATATATCTCTTATCCCATTTGTTTGATTGTTCCCGTAGGCACACCAATATATAATTGTGCAATTGTTTAAATTCTTAGTTTGTATTAACTTTTAACTTATATAGATTTCTGTATAAAGAAAATCCAAGTCAAAGTAACAAACGCAAAGAGTTTTTTTACCCTGAATTCACAATCGTAACAAATAATTTGGAAAACTTTTAATTCTTGATTTTTTGAAATCATAATTAACTTATATAGATCTCTAAAAATAAATCCAAGTCTTAGTGATAATCATAGGATTGTGATAAAAACGAGAAACCACACACCATGAGTGTATTATGAATTTATTAAGAGTATTACAAATAAGAAATCTCACGCCATAAGGCATGCATAAGTTTTATCTTTGTAGAGAGTGTCAAGGAATAAATCACAATCCTACACTTTAAAGTGTATATAGAATTTGATTTAAATGCACTGTATCTGTTTAATAACACAGAAAACTAAAACTGTTAGTGCGGAAGAAGACAAAAATATCAAAACATGTATTTACTTTCTTGTTTTGAAATGGTGTACTGCACTTCTGAGGATGTATTTTCTTTTCCTTTTTTTCCCTCACGTTACTGTCACCTGCACACACACACACACTTTTGTTTTTATCTCACTTTTCTTCCTGTCACCTGCACACACTTTTTTTGTGATTTTTATCTCACTTTTTTTACTGTCACCTGCACAATTTCTTTTGTTGCACACTATTTTACCTTGCTGCACACACTAACGCCTATGTGTTCAGAAAAGGTTTTCTTCCCTTTTTTTTTTGCTTCTTTCTTTATGTAAGAGAATTCCGTAACAATTTTGGCAATTACTCCACGTTTTGCACCTTATTTGCCATCACTTCACGTTCTGCACCCTTTTTGTCATCACTCCACGTTCTAAAACATGTATTTTTAATCCCCCATTCTTTCTTCTTGTTTTCTTTTTATTTGGGCCAACACAAAATTTTATTTTCTCCTCTCTTTTTTAAGGCTCATTTGTGATTCATCATCAAATGTATATTTTTTTACCGCAAACAGCGATCCCGATGCTTTCTCCTTCCTTTTTAAGAAGCTCCACGATGAACCTTTAGGTCCCGAACTGCTCCTTGGCATCGAAGTTGCCTGTTCTTATTTTCCTGTTCCGTATTTTTTTCATACAATGCAAACAAGTGTTCTAACATTTTCCTAGCATCGTCAATGGTTAGTTCTGTATCAATAGATATATTATCTGTTGTAGCAGACATCAAACATTCTGTCCCATCTAATCCACATCTATGATCTAAAATTGTTGCTAATGCATATAAAATAGGACAATCAGCCTAATAACTTTTAAATTTAGCTTCCATTTAATAAACTATGAGTGCAAAAAGATCATTATCCCTATAATAAGCAAATGTTTCCAAAATATTAAATAATTGACGCAAAGCTAGATACGCAATAGGATAATATACACCAGAAATTAATTCGGTAGCGTTGTAGAATACTTCTAAAAATTTTAAAAATTACTCAGCAATCTGCATCATAAATAAAATGCTCACCATGCTTACTATTCACATACGTAGAGATGATCTGTTGCTACGGAAATGCAGTTTTCAACATTAAGTAGGTGGGTGTAGTTTCACCTATGTCTCACATCTGTTAGAAACTTTCTTGGCTGCATCTGGCTATTCCTACGATATTGTCGAAATTCTTAGAGCCGAACTCCAGAACTAGATATGAAAGATAACGCTTCTCTAATTTTTGTAAACCTTGTGATGTGAGTGCAAGTATTTGTTGGCGGGAGTCCACACTACCACCTTAGTGTAATGGTAGACATGCTTTCCAATGTCAATCAAGATGGCCAATACCCCCACCTTTTTTGTTAGATAAGTGTTTTTTATAATACTTACATACCGCACGTATTTCAACTTCAACTGTTTCTGGATTAGGTCGTAGCTCCTCGGTGAAATGTTCTCATGCAGGAGCAGTGCGCGATTTTTTCCACTGGCACGTTCTCCAACATCTTCGTTGTGCACCGATTGATTATCAACCAGAACATTATCAGCATTAGTGGGGTTGGAGTTATGCATCAAAATTTCAGCCTCGAAAAATGGTTGATCTCCAAAATTAGGGAAATCAAGAAAATTTACTTCCGCCATTTTCTGTAAAAAAAAAAAACATAAATTAATGTTAACTAAAGGGTTCATAAACATTAAATAGAAACAATATTATACAAAAAATAATGAGAACAGTACATCAGTATCTTTATTTTTTAGGGATGTTGTGGAATTTGATTGAAAATTGTAAACGAAACAGATAAGAGAAAGTTAGGAATCGAGAGACAAAACTAAGAATCAGAGAAAGAGTATGAGAGATAGAGTTATGAGTGTGAGAGGAGTTGAGAGTCAAAAGAGATGTAGAAAAGTGTAGAATGTTGTGAGGGTGGTAGGGTATTTATAGGGGTTTTAGGGTGAAATTTTCAGTTTGTTACCGTTGGGCACGTCACGGGCCGGGCCAGACTAGCCGTTTCCGACCGTTAGGCCTGTGACGTGTCGGGCCGTGTGTTGGACCGCTTGTGACCGTTAGGCACGCGGCGGGCCTGTGTTAGGTCGTGCCAGGGCCGCGAGCTGAGAAATTGAGACCCAACCATAGCCCATGTAATGTGCTCGAGTTAATAGAGGTTTAACTCTCTATCTAACTCGACGACCAGGTTCATCTGATCAATCAGAGCTGCTGGGCCGGGCCGGCCTGTAAGAGTACAGGGTTGGGCTATGCCGAACCCGATACTGTAGCAGGCTAGCATGGACGGCCCGATCCAATTGACAACTCTAGTTTTTACGAGAACTTCTTTGAACTGTGTTTTCCGTTTAGCAGAGCTTAAATGTATCAAAATGTATTGAACCATATTTTCAAAAGAGCTTAAGTTAAAGTGTCCGTTTGTTTCATAGATTTAAACAAAAATTTAAATTTTACGAGAGAAAATACTGTAGCAAAAAAACCTGAATAGTAATTCGAACTTGTGAAACAAACAAGGGCTAAGTCTCTAGACAAGTTCTAAAGTTTATTCAAAATAGCTTTTTTAAGAAGCCACATTTTGTAGTTCATATTGAAAGCTGTTTTGAAAAACAAAAACACTTCTGAGAGAGCTAAGTACTTACAAAAACACATCCTATGGAACAAAGAAGCCAAAAACAGATTCTAAAGCTCTGCGAACAGGCCCGATGCAGAGCCAACTCAATTGTTATGGTTTTAGGGTGATGGAGGTAGAGCTGTCTACCTTCCCGCTCTTCGACAAGACCATTGTCGGGTTTCGGCTTCAGCATTTGGTGCTCTCAATCGCCCGGAGGTATCTCAACATTTGATCAGATTTTCAATCTCTCAAAGCCGCAGCTTGAGCTGTCCCACATTTCCCGTAATATCAATTATGCAGCTCACAAGTCAACCTTGCTCATTATTAACAACAACAACAACAAAAAAGAGAAAAAAAGACGGGGGTCAACCTTGCTCGTTGGTCTATGGCTACCGGATATAATGATAATATTGACGTTCTGGTAGATGATGCTCAATAGCGGCCAAATGCTTTTGTATAATTTGGGGGAGCCAGTTTGTTTTATTTTTACTGTTTCCAGCATGTTTGGATGGATGCAGCTTTTCTTGTGCCCCTGCCTAGGAGGTAGCTCCCCTTGGTGTGGGGGTGTTATGTTGAATGAAGCATCCTTCTAAAAAAACAAAAACAAAACAAAAAACTACCGAGGCGAAGCTCTGCCAACTCCATGATTTGTGATGGAAAAAGGTAGGGAACCCAAAAACAGAACAAACATCAAATGTTACCATATATGAAACATCATGCACAAAGTGTGTACAAACTCCAACGCAATTTCCCGAGACAGGAAATGGGAAAACACAGATTACATCATTACTCAACTATTGTTAAACTTACGTATCCCCACCTAGGCCACATTTCCTTCATGAATTTTCTGCCGGGTCATTTAGCCTGTTTACTTGCATATCATCATCATCACCAGCACCACCCTAACTATTTATCTTACACTTTGGAGTGAAAATCATAAATGTGATACCTTCAGTAGGTAAGGCTATAGTTTCTGCAAAATCACATTTGATGTGTTGTAACGCACCAGTCATTGCACCGTAGCCACAGATGCTGGCAAAGCTTGGACTAGGGTCAATGGACAAGTGTCGCCATAAAAAAAGAGAAGACAGTCTGGAACTCAAATCAGACAGTAAACTAACTCCAGCATTATACTTCCGGTTAGGAATATAAGTTGCCGAGGAGTGGAAAGGTGAGATCTTACCACTTAATTTTGCTTGCCAAGTCTAAATCTGTAGTAAAAGCTACCTCTGTTCCCACAGCAAAAGCTGCAAGACTTCCTTACATGAGAATTTACATTGACGGATGCTAATCAAAAATAAAAATAAAAAATAAAAGAGAGAACACTGGATAAACAATAATGATGGAGAGAATTGGAGAACGGAACACGTGCAGAGAGATGGATAATATAGTTAGGAGTACTTATCAAAAGACCCGAGACAGCTAGCACCAGCGCCGGCCTTCTAATTTCTAAGTAAATACTAGGCATGAGTTTGCAGAATGGAGAAATACTTAAAAGATCAAGAAAACATGAGTGATCCCTGCAGTCACGTATACAAGAACTTAATAGCCGAAACAACACTTTCATAGGCACAAATGACAATGTGATAATTAGCCTAAACAAAATCAACAACACTTTCATAGGCACAAATGACGATATGATAATTTTGCACAAAAAATGAAACATGGAAAGCCCTTAAAATGGTCTACATTATGACTATGAACCTTGAGATATTAACCAATTACATCAAAATTCAAAACCCGCTCTCTTCAACAATCATTAACCCCAAATGCTATAGTAGAAGGACAAATACTTTGGTTTATTTCAAAACAATTATGTTAATCATGGCACATACATTGGCATAGAAGAAAGTGTATCCAACTCGAACGAAATCATCCCAGCGTTATAAATAGCAGCTAGTAAGGTACATCCAAAAAAAGGGGTGGGAAATTATTAGATCTCCATTCAAAATAAAAAAAGGGCAAAGGACACGTCTTTCACAATGAAATACCTTGCAGTGGTAACCTTTTTGCATCATTTGTGCGTGAAGACGATAACATACTCCCCCCTTTTAAGGCCAGCAATCACTTGCAAAGAAAGCATAAATATGCAAACAGAAAAGAAGAAGAGAAAAAAGGCATGAATATATGGTTAAAAAAAATTCCATTTATCTTCAGATACAGTTTCATCTTCGCATACAACTTAAAAGGCCATATCAAGACTTTCTTTGTATTAAAGTCATTACCCCACGCCTTCATTAATGGCAATTGCTACCATTGTGTGCTGGCACCCCTTCACCAACTTGCTGCCCCATCGACACGCAGCATCTCTTCTTCTAACCCTGTTCCTATAGATCTAGAGTCCTTGTCGTTCTTTACGAATGATTAATAATCAGTTCGAAGAATTGAAAAAAAAAATGATATTTTTGTCAAGACAAGATTAGATCTGCAAATGTTTCTCACGCTGCCTGCTGCTGAGATACCTGTTTTGACTCTGTATGGCAGGAAGAGGCCTGAAATCAGATCTGGGGAGAGGAGCCTCAATGATATTTTTGTCAAGACAAGATTAGATCTGCAAATGTTTCTCACGCTGCCTGCTGCTGAGATACCTGTTTTGACTCTGTACGGCAGGAAGAGGCCTGAAATCAGATCTGGGGAGAGGAGCCTCAAGAAACCACTTGTGATTAAGAGCCTCCTCTGCTGTGATTCGCTGCAAAGACAAAGAAGGATACATAAAATTTCACGGCCACAAAACCTGAGATCTACAAAATTCTAAAAGCTTTTAACTGGTAAAATTACCTTCTCAGGGTCGTAGGTTAGAAGTTTGCTCAACAAGTCAAATCCCAAATCAGAAAGAACCGGAGAACCTATGAAAGATTTTGCCGGAAATTTCTTGCGCAGTAGATTGTAGCTGAAACAGAATCAATAATCACACCACGTTCACTAAGTGGAAAACGAGTGATTATACTGAAGTAAAAAAAAAATCAAACGAAATTTGTAAAGCCGATTAAATAGAAAAGATACTCACGGTTGCTTAACAAAATTGGCTCTGGACCCCGGCAACGTAGATAATCCAGGCCAAATTCTTTCATTTGGCGTGCCAAGAGTCCTGAAAATCTGCAAAGATTCCAAAGATACAAATTAACGAACGCCGCTAGAACATCAAAAGCCAATAGAGAAATATCAAGTAAAACTCAAACCTTATCAAGCTGCTCGACTTCAGTTTTCCCTCTGAATAGTGGTTCCTTAGCTACCAATTCAGCCATTATGCATCCCGCTGACCACATATCAATAGCAGTAGAGTATTCCTTTGTACCCAAAAGAATTTCAGGGGCCCTGACAAGCAAACCACACAACTACTTCATGTTGCAAACGATAATTGATAATATAAAATATGTCGTTTTCACTGATTTTATACAGAAGAATAACAAACATAGCTAGCAGCTCACCTATACCACAAAGTAACCACCAATGGGGTATACGGCTTCAGAGGACTTCCATACTGACGTGACAACCCAAAGTCGCATATTTTCAACTCACCGTCCTCGCTCAGAAGAAGATTTGATGTCTTGAGATCTCTGTGAAGCACCCAATTTTCGTGAAGATACTTCACACCCTCTAGAAGTTGTAGCATCAACCACTTAACTTCGCTTATGCTAAACGGCTCTTTCATCTTCTCCATTAGACATTTGAGGTCATATTCCATGTACTCCATAACCATAAAAACACCGTTATCGTCATCCATGACAACCTCCTTAACATTTACGATTGAAGGGTGACTAAATGACGAAAGAATGTTTATTTCCCTCAAAGACGACAAAGGAAAACCACAATCATCCTTATTTACATCCATCTTCACCTTTTTAAGTGCAACAATTTCCCCATTTTTCTTATCCCTTGCTTTATATACAACACCGTAGGTCCCTTCATTTATTTTGTTGAGTTTCTCATACTCAAACACGCTTCTGCAACTCTGTAGCATGTTAAAACGTCCATGGCTAGACACTGTAGGCACTTCCGTTTGAAGATCCTCCCCATCATCCTCGAACTTACTTCGAGCATCCCCATTGCCATCACTATCCACAAAATCATCAAACAACTCTTTTTCAGAATATTTATCTCCACTTCCAGATCCAGCATAGCAACCTTCCTCATCAGAGCAAGATGTACTTGCCCTATCCCCTACTGAGCCCTCGCTTCCAATCTCCCCGCTTTCAGGACTTGACATCCCCATGTAAGGCGAGCATTCACGATCAAACAAATGTTGAGGAGAATCCTCTTCAGATGCCCATCTTGACATTGAAATGTTCCGGGCCTGAAACACCTCTTCCTCTTCCATTTGATCTTGCGTTTGGTGAACATCCTCACGTTTCGGGGAAAGCAACTCAGGAGACAAATCGGCAGCTGATTTCTTGGGTCGAGAAAGTTCCACCAACTCATCATCCACTAAAACCTCAACCTTTGAAAGCTCCACCCCTTGAAACTGATTGTCCGACTCAGAGACTGGGCACTTTGAAATATCTCCATTCCAAACACCATCCAATACTTGATGGGAAGGAGACAAAGGAGTAACTCGTCTTTTTCTGGATGATATTGTCACATCCTTCTCTTCTTTCTCCCATATGATCGGAGAGAATTTTCTCTTCTTCTCAGGAGGTAACTGAACAACATCTTCAAGCTTCGAGGCTTCACCATCCGATCGCCGCTCTTCAGTTCTACCATAAAACCCATATGGTCTAGAACCTGAATCATTCTTATGCTTAACGCCATGACGACGAAAGCTACTCGCGTTCACAACCCGTGAACCGCTTTCTCCGAAATCAAATTCTTTTCTCGAGAAACGAGAATCCCTTCTCCTCAAAACTTCGACTCCCCCTGCCGCCATAATGATCGAAAACCACAGCGCTTTTCAATCAATAACAAAATTCTCAATATGAAAAGAAAAAAGAACAAAACCAAATGAAACCCCCCAAACAGAATCTCGAAACCCTAATCCCCAAATTCGAAGATCAATTTTTTTCTCCCTATCAAATTTTACTTCCGGAAACAGGAATTCAATTTTTTTTTTCTTGAATCTCCAATCAAATCACACAAAACAGAAGTAATACGGAACAAAAGATTCAATCGCAAAACGAAAGTGAGAAAAATACAGATCAATCAGAGAAAAGAAACCAATAGCGAAGACGAACCCTAGACCTCGATTCCTTGTTTCCTCGCAAAAATATCAGAAATAACGAAAGGCCTTACCGGCTAGAGAGAGAAAGAGGAGGAGAGAGAGAGAGAGAGAGAGAGAGAGAGAGAGAGAGAGAGAGAGAAACGCTGCGATGAAAACCACACACAACTCTGAAAGAAACAATCGGAAAGAAAAAGCTTCAAGTTTCCTTCTTTGGTTCTTTCTTTACGCGTTTTAGCAGATTTGGAAGAACATACGGATCTTTTTTAAGGCGGTCAATAGGGTTTACTTATTGTCGGCGCTATGAAAGTTGCGATTTTGCGTATTTACCCCATGTTTTTCAATTTATTTCTGTTTTACCAATAAGTGGGCTGAATTCTCAGTTAGGCCGAACCCCAAGTCAACTCAAATTTGGGCCAACAAGCCCAACTATGCATGTGTATTGGACTTGTCGAAATCCAATTGCATTAGTCCAATTGCATTTCCGAAAAGGGAATAAATGCTATATTTTTTAAATCTTTTTTTTAACCATGAATTCAAATTTAGAAACATTATTGCTACAGTATTTTCTCTCACAAAAATTTAAATTTAACTTTTTTATTATAATATTTTTTTCTCACGTACACAATTCAAGTTATGACTTCAGTTGTACAAATAAACACACTCTTAATTTTACAAACATTACATAACAATCATAATGATATTAGATTTGTACGAAGATAATTATATAATTATTTTAATGATATTAAATTTTGTTATTTTTATAATAATTCAAAAAAATTTCTATATTTCAATTTACTATTTAAAATTTGATATATGTGTAAACATCCTCTTTTTGTGAACCTCATATTTCTGAAATGATTAAAATAAATACATTTTTATAGTCAATTATTTATTTATTATTTAACATATAATAGCTCAGTATAACATACGAGAAACTTTCTGCAACTTTTTTTTTTTTTTTTGCTAATCAAGAAAAACTTTCTGCATGCTATATATTAAATAGAAATCTCAACACCAAGGAAAGAAAAGACCTTCGAGATTCAGACATAGTTGAAATTACGTTTAAATTCAAATGATATTGTTGACATACATGTTTGCATAAATTCAAATGATATTAGATTTACCAATAAAAAAAAATCACAACTCACATTTCACATACGTTATTATACAAAAGTTAATATTTGAGTTGTTGTCCCTCTTTCTTTTTAACGATTAAAACATATGAGATAAAGAAAACAATAACTTATTCTATCAATAAGGTATTCATTATACTTTTTTCTTACCCAAAATAATCTATTAACTGTTAGATGATGCAGATTGAGGACTGAGGACAAAATGTTAAGTCAACAACTTGTCTGACACACAGTGGCGGACAACTAAGAGCCCGTTTGGTTCATGGATTATAATCATTTTTTATTTACGTGTGTTTTTTATGAGAAAAAATACTGTAACGAATCATGAACCATGATTCGAATCAGAGAACGAATCATCCAATCAAACGGGCTCGGCATAATTGTGCATTACTACTACTAAAGGTGGATGAGAAACTGTTCAAGTGACATTGATGTAATTTTATGAGATATAATGGTGTTGCAGGAGACATTTAACGCGGAGATAGTGAATTTTAAATCCCAAAAAATAGTTGGGTACTTCCAATTGCGTTAAATTATTTTATATATTATATGTTTTTTTCTAATATGATAAGAATTTGATTTAATCTTAGAGTAAAAAATCGGATTATAGAGTTTTTTTTTTTTTTTTACTTTTCTTCTCCATTGCAGCTTTCGTTTTGAAAATCTCTGTGTATCGTTGCACTCCTAATCTTTTTTTTTTTTTTTTTTTTTTTTTTTTTTTTTTTTTTTTTTTTTTGTAAAAGTTCACGAACTTTCAATTTTAATAAAATGTACTATGAATTTTAAAAAACATATATAATTGAAGTCCGAGAACAAAGAGGTATTTCATATCGACAGTAGGCATGATTTGAATTTTAAAAAATAATGAACTTTATCTTTGGTGTTGAATCAATTTAATAACGTTGATAGTTATTTGATATTATTTGGCAGTTATTGTACATCAATTACGTCTAAATTTAGAATTGTGCGTTTTACCAAAACGATTTATTATTCAAAAAACAAATAATTTAAAATATAATGGTCATATTTATGATCTGTCAAAAGGCTTTACATGTTCTATTAATTTTATATCTCTTGTTTCAGGTTATTCAAATAAACAAAAAAAATTTGATCCCCTGAATGACTTTTGGATTTTAGAATCGATCTGATTTTATTCATTCTCTCAAAACGCAAAATCTAACCCTTAATATATCATTTGTTATAGGTTTAATATTTTGTGTAAAAATAAAATAAAATGCATATAATATTCAATTACTAGAGTATCATTTTACATTTTTGCTTGAGAATCACATACATATTTTATGTTCTCTACTTGTAAAATACTATTTTATTTCCTCATCATGTTCACATTCATCCTTTTTTACTCAGCTGATGAAAAGATTTAAAGTAGATTAAAAATAAATTTTAAGATGTTTTAAACATTATTGAGGTCAAATTTTTTACTCATTTAAACTAACCACAAGTCTTTGCAGATCATATATTGTCAGAACAATCAAATCAGCGGCTCATCGAGTTGTCAAACAATCCACAGATCACATCTTACCAGAATGATCAAACCAGTAGCTCATCAGACACCATCAGACTAGTTGTCGGACAATCATACAAGCCATTTGTACAGAAGATTCCATTTTTCACCACCATTAGATTTCCAAAGGATTACGCACAGAATAGTATGGCTGTTCATAGATTGGGTTGATGCGGGGTAGAGTTTTTTTTTCCCGTCTCATAAGGTGCGGGTTACACATATTTAGCCTTAACGATGTTAGAATTTTTTCACAACCCAACGATGTTCGGGTTGGGTTAGGGCGGTGCGGGATGGGTTGGGTGGTCAGTTTAACATTAAAAAAATTAAAGACTTAAAGTTCAATGTAACATTCAAAGTTCATAATCAAATAGAAATAGCAACTATTCTTATGAGTCCATCTAACATCAAACATGTAGCAAAGCAGTCCATCCAACATCAAATATAAAGCAAACATAAATTAGTCTACACTCATAAATTAGTCTTAATATAAAGCAAACATAGATGCTTAATTCAAATCCATCTAAAGCAAGCATTGCAACAGCAACAATCCTTATCAGTCCACACCCATAGGCTCCTCAATGGTTGTAGTAGGACATGAAGTTGAGTTATCTACAAGAGAAAAGAAAATAGCTTAAGTAATAATTTGAATAGTTAGTTTAGACATGTGTTGTGCGGGTTAGGTTGCGGGTTGTTATGGGCCCAACCCACAACCTGCCCCAAACACTTCGGGCCAAAGGTATAATGGGCCGAAAATTAAAACATAATGTTGCGGGTTATTTTTTTCGGATTGGGTTGGGGCGGTGCAGGGTGAGTTTGCGGGTTGTTCGGGTTTATGAACACCCCTACAAAATAGCAAATGGGAAAGTCAAATATCAATTTAAGTTGCTCCTTAAGCACCTTCTTTACTTGAAAAAGTCTTATCTAAAAAATCTCCAATCAAAAGTCAAACAAAAAACTAACCCTAATCAGATTTTCAGCCATCAGGGCTTATTAAAAGAGGTCATACACGCCAAAGACAGGTTTCGTGCATTACAACGCATGCTCTCACACCCTTGCACGTATTTTCAGGCCAAAAACATACTTTTTTATACTTTTCGATATTTTTGTCATCTTCTTTCTCCTACTCTTGTTGAGAAGGTCCATTGAAATCTCATTTTACAATTATTAGTGAAGACCCAACAAAAGACGTACATATTATTGAGGAATTATTCAGTACACCAGATGTACCGCGTCATATTATTTATGTGGTACATTTAATCAATAAAATTGTATCATTTGGTATATCTATTCAATAAGCCCCTCACTTTTATTTTTTTCTCTTTTTTAATAGGTATTTGCATTGAATATTTATTGGAAAAAAAAAATAAAAGTAAAAAGCTTATTAGATGGGTGTACTAAATGATACAATCTCATTAACTGAGTGTATTACATAAACAATATGACGTTGTACACCCAGTATACTGAATAATTCCTCCATATTATTAATGAGTGAATCTCTATAAAATTTTATGTGTCCTTGTCTCTGTTTATTTTTCCGTTATTTATTCTACAACCACGATGCTAATCTCCTAATCATCCGAATTCAATCACCAATCTATCTCGTATAAATTTAATTATAGAATTTCACCACCTTAAATTTAATTGTAGAATTTCACCACCTACGAACGTGATGAATCAAAATAAGATTGATGATGAAATTAATTCGACTATTTATGACATTATAAGCCTAGAAAGAAAACGAGCACTTTCTGCCAACTTTTTCTTCCATTTGAATATCCAGTAAACACGCAACGCAAGGATAATCGAATCAAAAACAAAGAAAAAACGCAAAGAAATCCGAGATTAACTCGGAGGAAGAAAAACAGGAAAAGCGTGGATTTGACAGAAAAAAGGGGAAATGGAAAAACTCACGGCGTGCATGCAAAAGACAGGTGCAGAGTTGCGTACGTGGTGCAATAGGATAAACGGTCTTTCAGCACCCCCCAACCGAAATATAAAATTCCCACATCACTCATCTAATCTTGATCTGACAATAAGACATATTTCCAAACCCCATTTTAAAAGGATGTTTATTTCCTATATCCATTCTTAGGGTGTGCTTGATAAGAAAATGAGTAGGATGTTTGGTACTTAAATTTATTTCTTGATTCAAATTATAATTCGTAATTCGTTATAATATTTTCTCTCATAAAAAATACACGTAAATTAAAAATAATTTTAATCACATGATTCTAATCTATGAACCAAACGTCTTCTTATATCCTCATTTGAATCATGATTCATAATTTTCATGATTCATGATTTTTTACAGTATTTTCTCACAAAAAATACACGTAAATTAAAAATAATTTTAATCCATGAACCAAACATCTCTTTAATTCTAAATCATAATTTATAATTCTTTATTCATAAAAATTAATTTTAAATTATAAACCAAACATAAAATTCATTTTACTAATTTAAGTTTAAAATTAAATTTCACTACAATAAAAAATTCTTAAAAACACACTTTTAATTCTTTTATTATAAAATTACGTTTTAACTCAAATTTAAAATTCAAATTATTGAGCCGAAGTGATTTACAACACCCCCACCATTCTTCCTTCTCAAACATCCACCTGTCCCTCCGCATGCGCCTCTCTCTCTCCTCCTCCTCTCTACCCCCTCCAATCTATAAAGTATAAACAGTACATAAATTTGCAGCTTTTCTTCACCTCGTTTATTCTTTTTCTATCACTTTCTATTTATATATCAAACGCAAAATCCATTTAAATAAAGATCTTTTCACCATACGATCGAATTTAATTATAATCGCGATCATTTAACTTCAATCACATCAAAATAAAAAATATATATGAAAAATATATAAACATATCCGATCACGTTGAAATAAAATCTAATTAAAATCACATTAAAATAAAAAAATATATCTATCTAAAATAAATAATTTTTAATTCATGTATATAGACGTAAGAATAAAACCGATGCTTTGATGCTTTGGGTTTTTCGGGACTAGAAAGCTCCCCTGAATAAATCCATCCCTTTTTCCCTTTCTTTTCTAGTACTAGCCAGTTAAAAAAGGGGGGGAAAAAAAAGTTTGTCCTCCATTAATGATCTTTGTTTTTTGGCGTTGTCCATTAATGATGTTTTTTGAAGTTATTCTTTGGCCTTTGCCAAGATTAGCATTTAGCGTTTCATATAAACATAAACCGGTCCAATAGCCCTGCACCACGAAACTTGACCAAACCACTAGGAGTAATACTCATCTCACCGACCATATAATTTCAAAGCATCTTTAATAATTATCAGTGGGGAAAAAAGTTAAATATCGTTTGTACAAAACAAATAAACTAAAACCAGTACAACCCGGCTCGGTTCATAAATAATTATGATTAAAATTATTTTTTATTTACATATATTTTGTTATGAGAAAAAATATTATAACAATTTATGAGAAAAAATATTATAACAAACATAATGAAAAAATATTATAACAAACATAAAAATGCATTGTTCAAAAATTCATAGTTTCCTTGTTTTCTTATCTTATTTTTTTTTTTATTTACGTTTACTTTACTGAAAAAAAAGGAATATAATAAAATTAAAGTAAATAAAAAATAAAGCTAAGAAATTTAAATAAGAACTGACATCTTGATTATATATCAAAAGAATTGAGAAAGTACTTCTTATGATTGTTTCAATATCAACAATAAGCTTTTGTGTTTTCGAATTAAATAAATCATTTTAATTTGCTTCGTTGGAACAAAAGAAGCCCGGCTTAGCTAGGTACTGACCAGACCAAGCCGTGTAAAAAAAATTATGAATCATAATTTGAATTAAGAAACGAATCCCTCCGAACATCACATTATACAAGAGACACCGAGTACGTATATGTACCAAAACGAAGAAGGTAATTATTTCATAAAGGAAAATAAAAATATATATTACATAAAAATTCAGTACTCTCTTGATTCCCCTCCTCACCAAATGTAATTTAACAATAACAACACAAGCTAGGCCAGGTCACAAAAGCGAAAGCAGGACGAGGAAGAACAGTACCAAATAAGGACGTTTCCCAAAAAAAAAAAAAAAGGAACAAAAGAAATATTTACAGTTTCTTAAGCTAATAATTAGTTGTTAATCACACATTTAATCATATATCCCAGTCCCTGGAGTAATTAATTTTTTTGGTTTTAAGTTCTTAATCCTCCTTTTTTCCCGTTCTCCGGACTAGGGTTTTTTTTGCGCAGATTAGAAACATATAATAATAATATTATTATTATTATTATCATCATCATATGTATGTAACAAATTTAACGAGAGATGAGACCAGAGCATGGTATAACTGTGGAGGTGACAACACTAACGTTACCGGCCGAGGCACAGAGCGGCGTTGACGTCCAATCGCCATGCAAAGCCACCGGCGTCCATTCTCCAGACGTCACAGGGGACCGTTAGCGAGCTCTTCGTCACCTCCATCCCATCCACGTAGCACTGCAGTCTCACCCTGCACGTGAACGCCGGGTACGTTAGCGTCACCGCCGCTGGTAGTCTCTCCTTCATCACCAACCAAACTATGATATTATTGATGTTCTGATCAGTACTAGTAGTTGTACAACTACTACTACTCTCCCAGGGTCCACCCTGCTGGCCCACCAACGCCCTGTACGCCCCGTTCGTCCACGTCACCCTCCCGAAACCGTCCGACGTGAACCCCGGACAGGTGTCCCTCCCCAGATTCATCCTCCTCTCCTCGTCCGTACGCCCCAGGGCGTTCCCGTCAGCCCACGTGTCCGTCACGCATTCCACCGTCACGCTCGACCCCACCACCTTCGCCGGCCGCGGCGGTATCATCACCACCGTCGGATCTGGCGACCGTCCGCGGGGAAATGAATATCTCTGCTGATCAAAGCTCAGCCACGTCGGCGGTGGCGATACCGGATCACTCCTCTGCTCCTTCGGCTCCGGCGTCTCCGGCAAGAGAGGAAGAAGCGTCACCACCGTCTGATCGTCCTGATGATCAGAAACCAACGCACCTGATCGTTTCTGATCATGATGATCAGGAGAAGCCCTTCTCTTCTTATTATTGCCGTTGTTGCACCGCTTGTTACCACCATCTCTGGCGTACCTTCTCTTTCCTCTTCCGCCTCTGGATTGGCCTTCGTTCTTTTCGGTCCTCGCTCCGGTACCGGAGCCGTCCCCGGCGGCGACTGGTTTCGGGGCGATGGGACGGAACCGGAGCATTATCCGATCCACCTTGGACATATCACAACCGTACACTTCTCCACCGGAATATCTCGCTATACAGCAACCTCCTCTCCCGTCCATCTCTCTCTCTCTAAAACACCGCTCAAAATCGGAACGTTTCTTCCGTCAGGCTCAACTCCCACAGAAAATGGGAAGCTCGACTGAGAGGGTTTTTCCATTTATAGCAGGGAAGAATGAGCTTGACACGTGTGATAAAAACAGGTGTAGGGAGAAGGACGCAACAGCGCAGAGACGGGATTGGCTGGCGACGAGATACGTGGCGGTGCTAATCAGTGGGGCCCAGACCGAATGGGGAGGGGCCTGGGATTGGGCCCCACAAGAGAGCCAATGGGATGTGGAAGAGGGTCTACAGTAGCACCTTAGATATCGACACGCAAGCATTGTTTGCCTCGTGGACTGTGTACGGGTTTTTTTAAAAGAAGAGAGAGAGAGAGTGAGAAAGAGAGAGAGAAGACTGTGTTCGAGAAGGGGGACACGTGGGCCAATGGTAGGTGGATAGCAACGAACACAAAAAGATTTTCGGGTTTCCAAAGTTGGTGGATCTGATCACGCCAAGTGTACGCTCGGATGACGACACGGATCTCGGGTTGTCCCCCTGATTGGAGAAATTAAAAATAAAAAATAAAAAAAAGAAAAGGATCCGCCGCTTCTTTTTTCATTTTTCTATTATGAAATGACATAAATGCCCTTGCTTTGGTGACGTTATCTTGTGTTTTGGCTTTACGCGGGCAATGTCTCTTTCCGGTAATGTACTGCGGAAGCACATAAAAGTTTGCTGCTTTGGGACTGTCAGTTTCAGTCAGCTTTCACGGATCTGCTGCCCAATGCGGTTCTAACACGGTGCTTTTGTTGAATTCAGAGGAACCAAGGGTAGAATTGGAATTTAATTGATTTGTATGGATATATTTCTAGAACTCTCAACAACAGTCATATTTAATTTTTTTATTATAGTAAAAAATTTTCACATAAAATTATATTTTAACTCGAATTAAAAATTTAAATCAATGAATTAAACACACCAAATAAAACTACTAAAATATAGAACTTTGAGTCGTGGACTTGTTGGATACTACTTTAAGGCGTTGTTACCTGCTTTAGAAGACACTAATCATTATTGGCACTCGTTAGATTACATTGAGCAGCTGAAACCATTCCATGAATATATTGTTACATACATTACGTATATATAGTTTTTTTTAATTATTTTAATGAACATTACGCAATACGTGTATAAAATGGGGTTGTTTCTTATTAAATAATTGGTTCTGGTTAGGTCCTAATCTAATTATAAACCACGAATGCAATAGTTAACTGTTAACCATCATATGCTTACGTCTATAAATTTAAAAAAAAATTTAAATTTAAACGTAGAGAGAAAACAATCTAGAACTGACCTAAAAACCTTGTTTGTAGAAGTAGCGATTATTGCACCATATGCAAAAAAAAAAAAAAAAAAAAAAAAAATCTTTCTATATAATATATACTTTAAGAATTAGGTATATTTGTGGGGAGAGATGACATTAAAAATATTTGTTTACATTATTTCGCGGTTGTAGTTGGGAGAAATACTAATTATCCATATTAAGTCAGTCCGGTCGGGTCTCAAAATGTTTTGTGAAATAGTACCAATATTATTAAGTAAATATAAAAAGAAAACAATGTAATATAAATCATCATGTTAATGTGAAATGAGAAGTGCCGGTTTGATTGCAATATATACAAATAATCTACCTTTCCATGCATGGTCCCCCAACATAAATTCTTCCATTCTTTGGAGCAATATAATATATATATATATATGTATGTATATGTTTTATATGTACATACCGTTCAAAAGGGGAAAAATTTCCAGACCCTTATTCTTATCTGTATGATTAGAGGTATAAAGTGTTACAATGCAATAAGTTCAGCGATATATATGGTTAATTAACGACTTCTTTCTTATTTTTCATGTTTTCTCTTTTTTTTTTTTTATGTACCATTCCTCCAATTATTGTGAAAAGCGTCTCTCTCATATATATGCATGTTGGTATGTGCGCATGCATGCACGCAGGCTTATCATGATCTCTACTATATATATACATACACAATTAAACCTCTATAAATCAATACCTTGGACCATTAATTTATTAATTAATCAAGATATTATTTAATCGAATAATTATTGAGTATTAATTTATTGAGGTTACACTGCATATGAAAAAAGCACAATACTTGTTTTTTTTTTCCGTATGTTATTATCTTTGTTGTTAACTAGAGGAACTAGATTAATTTATCTCATGTCCATGAGAAAGCAACTAAATTTGCCTTCAATTTGAAGACTATCCCACATTATAAAAACATCTTGACAACTAGCTAATAACCTAATTGGAACATAATAAGTAAGTCGCCTCCTAAACTAAAAAACCATGTTTTGCAAGGACTGTACTTCTAAACTAGACATGTAGGTCCCCGTTCACTTCGCAGATTCGAGTTTTCAATTCGAGTTAAGATATGATATTTTTTAAGAGTTTTTAACTGTAGTAGAAAATGTTAAATGTGATATTTTCTGAAAGTTTTTAACTGTAAAAACTTAAAATTGAAAACTCAAATCGGTGAAATAAATGAGAGCGTAATGTATACAAACTTTTTCATGAAAAGCCATCATGTAATTAAACGATTCAGAGCTAGACACGCACAATATTTCAATGGTTACTTTTCAAAGTGATGTATTTAATTTCTTTATAAATTTAAACTAAAAAATACAATAAATTTGAACACAAAGGTTCCAAATCCCCACCATTCCTTACCCTGATTTGGTAGTGAATTCCACTCATCTCATTGGGGTGCGTGGATTATAACTTTAACTCCCGAAAAGAGGGAAGGGCTGAACCCGTTCACTTCGTTAATTCGAATTTAGAATTTGAGTTTTTCTATAGTAAAAAGTTCTCATAAATAATCACATTTAACTTTTTTACTACAGTAAAAAGCTCTCACATAAAATTACATCTCAACTCAAATTCTAAATTCGAATCAATAAAATAAACGGGGTTTATATCATTATCAGATTTCAATCAATATATATATATAGATAGCAAAAGAAAAAAAGAAAATCAAAAAAGGAATCCTCAATTATATTTTGCGTACGACCAAGCCGATTAATATATTCCAATAGTACATGTGCACAAGTCACATCAATTATTACCATTTCTTTTGGCGTAAAATTAGACTGGTAACTGTAAGACACGTGTTCCGATTGCACATGGAATTCTCATGAAACTGAAAAGAACTAAAACCTATCTCCCCTCATTGTGATTGTAGGTAGAGTCTTTGAAATTTTGTAGAGCAATGTTTCTATAAGCCTAAAGGGAGACATATCTTTCAATAATTCCGGCGAATGAAAAACAGCGTTGTTGACCCCATAATCCACCATTATTGTACTTGGTACTAAGTTTCATGCACGTGGAACAATCTTGGACGTTCATTGTTTATCTTTTTAGAATATATTTATGCCTGGAAGGACCCAGATATAATGTGAAAACAAAGCGTTTAGATTGATTACACTTATTAGAGGTGGAGATTTATTTCAAGAGGTAGGCAATAATAATTGAGGATTGTATGTATATATAGTGATAAATAGTTTGGTTACAAGCTCTTTTTTAATGCATGTCTATTTTTATTTTTATTTTTGAATATTGTGTGTCTGATATAATGGCCATGTTTAGAATTAATTTTGCGTTTATTTTTTTACGTTTTTTAAGAAAGAAAAAATGAAAACATTTTTAAAACAGCGTTTGGTGTAATAAAGATAAAAAACAGAAATGAAAACGATTTTTTAATTTAGTGTAAAATGAGAGAGAAATGAAAAATGACTTTTACTTATTTTTCATTTTTTATTTTCGTTTTCTCCTCTATCGAGTAGAGAGAGAAAGAGATATATTAATAGGTTTTTTTTACACTGAAAACAATCTCTTGATAAAATTACCAAACATATTTTTAAAAATAATTTCTATCTGAGATTGAAAACGTTTTCATTTCATACAAAAAATAAAATCATTTTAAAACGAGTTCTAAACGCGCCCAATATATCCCAAAAAAGTGGATATTACTATATGTTAGTAACTATCCACAACAATCCTAAGGACTTGATTAGTGATGTTAGTTTGCAGCCTAACTCCATAATATATATATATATATATACCTATAGTAAAGCGCTTGCATTAAAAGCATTTGTTCCTAAAAAAAATAATGAATAAACGTGACGTGATTATAAATAGTTGAAGTTGATTGATGAATGCTTTTATAATGTCATGTCCTTTAAATTTGGTTCTGAACCAAAATCGTTGGTTGGTTAGGTGGGAAGAATTGGAGGAGACAGAGATGAGATAAGCATTTGAATTAAGAAAAAAACACACACACACACAAACACAAACAGGGGTCAAATTAGATTTGTTAGGTTAATTTTATCGGCAACAACTGTTCATGTTATTACATAAAAAAAAAGGTGATTGCCCATGAAGACATGTTGTACGTGAGGAGTTCAATAAGAGTTTTCATTTAAAGTTGAAGAAGATAATATGCTGGTCAAGAGTCGGAAGATTTAGTAATGCCGCAAGCTTGGTTGACGTGATCACATCCTAAAAACAAGCAAGATGGAGTTTAAACGGTATTTGTTGTGCAGATTGATTTGAATTTAAAATTCAAAGTGGGCTTGAATTATCTTGAAGGAGTTAATGAGGTGACTTTCCGTTCATTTTACCGATTTAAATTTAGAATTCGAGTTTTGTTACAGTAAAAAGCTCTCAGAACAGTCACACTTACTTTTGTTGCTACAATAAAAAATTCTCCCATAAAGTCACATCTCAACTCGAATCAACGAACTAAACGAGCTCTTAGTTGTAAAGAGCACGGGAAGATAAAAACATTTTGAAGATTTGGAATTGTTGGTATTTATCAAATTGAGCATTAAAACCAGCCGAACAAGGATAATTGTCGTTTTCAATATTTTGAGTTTAAATAGAACTCAATATCCGGTTCTAATAAGTGCTATATACACACCGTACGTGCTCATAAACGTGAAGGGAGTGCCATTGAAGAGTGAAAATTGAGCTTTGTAGAGAATATGGTACACGGGGGTTTCATAGGAGAATC